GTGATGGACCCCTCCAAAGAAGGGATGCAAGCCAGTTCTAGGCTTTCTGCCCGGGAAGATGGACTTTGGCTCACACACGGAGCCAGTCACTGTCCCGGGAGAGAGCCCTGGTTCAGCGAGTCCCAGCTGGGCTGACCCCTGAGCCCCTTTCCAGAAAAGAAGAGGAGAATGGTGACCCCCTCCCCAAACACACACACAGGAACCACCTCTTTAAGAGTAAACCCAGACAGCGGTTCCTCAGTGGCGCTAGGCCCACCCACCCCGTGGACTGTTCGGGGAAGGTGAGGCGTGCAGAGAGCCCTGCCAACGCCTCCCTCCATCACCGCCCCCCCCCCCCCCCCATGCCCAGCCTTTCATGTCCAACACGCCAAGCACTTTCCAAAGGAGCTTTGAAGTCAATTTCCAAACTACAAATCAAGGGCTCAAAAGCGAGCAGAATTCCATAGGGGCCAGAAACCTTAATCCTAAAATTAAAATGAAAGCTCCGTGAAATAACCTTTATAAAGCCAATCTGGAGACAGAAAATCCCAAGACTTTTGGGGTAAGCAATCGTCCCCCTGAAGTTCACCTCCATTTTAAAAGACCTTGAGGTGCGCCCCCCCCCCCCCCCCCGACAAAGCGCCCAGGCTGCAAACAGTGGCGTCAAGTTCTCTGTTTACGTTCTCATTCGAAGGCTTAAAGGAGTTTATCATCATCAAATTGTTGTTTCTATTTTTTTAGAAAATTCCTTATGCTTCAGAGTCAAAGACCTGGGCAGACTTTCTAAAATTTTGCCAGTTTAACGTACTCTTAGTCCCTCGGCATTTGAATGAGTCTGAATCGGCGGCGAACATTCTAGCTTGTTTGCCGGGACTCTTGTGAGTGCGAAGTGGCTGACATCCTAACTGGCTAGGATAATCGGAGACTACTGGATTCCTTCTCATGGGGAACGTGTTTTTGCTTGATTCTGTTTGCTTCTTCCCACCCTATTTCATAGAGTTGAGCCTTTGGACATGGGGCTTACGGGAGAGCCTAATCAGGCCCCCCCAAATTCTGCTATAAAATTCTAAATGTCACTTGCTAGCTCATGCCTCTCAAATGCAGTATGCCACATTGTTAAGTTTGTGGTTTCATCTCTGAAAGCCATAGATGGAACACTCTGATTATCTTAATTTTCTATAACCTTTTTAAAATATTTTTATTAAATTATTTATTTATTTATTTATTTTATTTCGAATACCCATCCCTCCACAAGTGCCCATTTCCCACCACCACGGATCCCAGTATCCCTCCCTCACCCCATCCCCCCCACCCCACCCTGCCTCTGTGGCAGGGCATTCCCCTCTGTTCTCTCTCCTTAACCCTTAATAACATTTGTGAAAGAAGAAGTCACTAAACCAGAAACTTCTCTTCCACCCCAAAGCAGTCACTGGCAAAACATAATTGGTCAATCAGAATGGAAGAGAACACGTTCCAAAACTCAGAGAGACCCAATGTGAGCTCGTCCACAGAGAATCGTGATCCAGGCACCCCTTATTAATTACGCGGAGCTGTCTTTTAAAATACCACAGTCCCCCAAAACATCTGTCACAGATTCCACTTAAATACTATGCCAGGAGGGAGTGGATCTGAACAATAGTTAACCTGAACAACCCCCAGAGCTCTTACTTTATTGGTACACAGGCCTCCCTTCTCCTCTGTCCCTCCATCTCTCTCTCCCGCCTTCTCCCTCCTTTTCTCTCTCTCTCTCTCTCTCTCTCTCTCTCTCTCTCACACACACACACACACACACACACACACAGAGCATCTGCCAAGGAGAGACGAGTCCTCTGCAGCAAGAGGTTATTGCCTGTGAACCATCAAACAGATGCTTCCGCACACGCAGACTCAAGGAGGACGAAGGTCACTGGCTAGTCATAGAGGGGAACAAAAGACCCTTCCGGCAGTGGACCCCGCCAGAGTGTGATCTCCACAGTGGACCCATTTGCATGAACTGCTGCGTGCTAATCTCCGCACATAGAACTGTGTGTCTGTAGAGTTGTGTGAGAGTCAATGCGCTCTTGGTTTCTACCCACTCAGGGCCGCTGCTGGAGGAGGGAGTTACAGGAGCACAATTTGGTTGGCAGGCCAGCCCCCCACATACGGCGCTGTGAACATATTTTAGAGTGATGAGGAGGCCAGGTGCAGAGAAGCACCATGCCTTACCCGTTCCCCGTGGCTCTGGGCCCAGGGCCACGGCACTGCCACGACACACCACGCTTCCCGGAGGTTTGGGTTTGTCATTGAGGAGTTGAGGCCCTTCAGCTCAGCTGTCATTGGTTGGTCAGGCGGGCATCATTAGAAACCCACACCTATACGGACTCTTTAATGAAGGTCACCACAGTGCGGCCCTTCCCATCTGTTGTTTAGCCACAGCTTAATCGGATCTAAACACACACAGGGAAAACGGCAGCTCCGAAATACACGCTCAAAGCCCCTCTCTCTCGCTCCCAAGCAGATGCGTTCTTGGGGGTTGGCGACGTCTCTTTATGAGGGGCATGCTCGGGGTCCCCTGCTCCCCTCCTCCCCGCCACTGGCTCTGACTCCTGTCCCGGGGGCTCTCATCCTCTATCCCACCACCTGGGGCTGAGAAACTCCATTTGATGTTAAAGCAGGACAGAATCTGAAAAACACACTGAGACCAGAGTGGACGAGAGGCCCAGCTGGGCTCTTGAGGGATGCGGGGAGGAGACTGGCCAGTGCAGGTGTCTCCTCCCTTCTGTCGCGAGTAGCTAAGCACTAGCCTTGAAAGCTGCTTGGGTGCAGTGTGACGGTGGCTCACAGGGACAGCAGGGGACAAGGAACACAGAGACGGTGGCGGGAAGCTCAAGTACACGGAGAGTGAAGGTGGTTCCCCCACGCCCAGCGCACACTTCCGACCTCATTCTACTCGGAAATAAGTGCCTGTAAGTCAAGACAGCTTACAGGTGGTTCTGTGAACTGTCTCTACTCCCAAGCAGGGTTTTCCAAACTGCTAGTCAAGTTGCCGTTTCTGTAGTGAAAGTTCTAGATCACCGTTGGAAACCAGGCGGCAAGCTCCTCCCGGTTGCCTGTGAGCTACAGCCAACAGCCTCTCTGAAGACCAGTTTGAAGTTTTCAGGATCACGTGTTCCCAACACCGTGCTATGCAAACTGCATTCTGAGCGGCTCGCTGACAGCTTTTTAAGATAAGTAGAAAATGAAATTGAAGCTAATATTTTTCCTCCTCAAATGTCAGAAGATATCAAGAAAAAAAAAAAAACAACGCTGAATGGAGAATTCTGAGTCCGTGCATTTAGAAGTGTTCCAGAATCGTTTGCTATCGCTGGGACCCATCAGGCTATGGCAGAAGCTCCAAGTACCCCTGCTCCCTCCCATCCCAACAACCCCACCCCCCAACATCGAATCAAAGTGGAACTATGTTCTGAAAGTCAATGGTGGTTTCTGTTAAGCAAGTGAACATTCATGAACACAACTAAAATTAAAAGCATCGTGTGAAAGACGTCAGGTTCCCTCTGACCCCTAACCAAGACTGTGCACACCTGGGACCCCGCCATAAATTCATGGATATTCCACGCGGAGAGAATAGAGATGAGGAATCAGGAGCGTTTATGCTTGAGCTAGAAATGCTGCAACTGAAGCTCACGTCACTCGATTTTCCCCTTAGGCGCTGAGGAATTCAGGGACTAACGTCTGCTTTTGCCTCCCTGAAAGAGGAGACGTCTCAGCTGCGAGTCCACACACCCAGCCCTCCTGACCTTCGGAATGGAAACCAACAGCTCTTAGCTATCTGGGGCAGGACATCAGCTCACTCCCCGGGGGCATCCGGATCCACTGTGCCACCAGGGGAGCTGTCTGGGTTCACTCTAAGCCAGCGCAGGGCTCTACTGTTGAAGGTAGCGACCCCCTCCTGGGGCACCTTTCTGCCCACACCGGCCTCTACAGGGCCCTCAGAGTTGTGCGGCAAATGGTGATTGTAGTTGGAGGGTTGGACCCCTGTGGGAGCAGCTGTTACCTCGTCCCACGAGCTGCTGGAGCGGGTGGAATGCCACGCCCACTTTCCTGAGCATATGGGCAGGAAGGTGCTGCCCAAGGAACAGAGACGAGACCCAGGAGATCCAAGGCACTAGAGAGGAAAATGAAATGGCCCACAACCTCTCAATGCAAAGACCCACACCCACCGTCTCCCCGAGGCTCCCCAAACTTGCAAGTGCCTTTGTTGGGGGAAGCACGTTACCTGAGCCCCTTGGCACTTTTGCTGCCCAGAGAAGACACTATTGAAGACATTATTTGGGATCAATGCATCAGTACATGTATATTGCAAATAGGAGCTCACTGTCATCAACTCAGCCACCACAAAAACCACGTCACTCTCTTCCAATTGGAGAGCGTGTTTTAAGCCTTTTCAAACCACCTAGTCTAGATTTTGACATTGCTCTAAAATAACTTTAAACCAATTAATTTAGATAAACTTCCATTTTACCGAAAGGCATCTAAAGGTAGAATTCTTACCAAAAGGAAGAGAAACCCAAATCCTAGTAATGTATTAAATTCTTTTTTTTCCTTCTTGTGTTACACCCGGCGATGCACAGGGGTCACTCCTGGCTCTGCACTCAGGAATTGTCCCTGGTGGTGCTCAAGGGATCATATGGGATGGTGGGAATTGAACCTGGGTCGGCCACGTGCAAAGCAAACACCCTACCTGCTGTGCTATCACTCCAGCCTTAGTAATGTATTAAAATTTTTTTAAAAAACCTTATAATTTAAGTATAGAAGGTTCTAGAATGCTTCTGAGCTCTGTGCTGGGTGAGTGAGCAGGTGTGGGAGACGGAGCAGCTGATTTCCCTCTTTCCTGGGGGTCACACGAGGGGCGGCAGGACGCTGCTCTTTAGAGCCCTGAAGGGATCTTGGTTTACCATGAACCACAAGCTCCGTGGGCTGCTCCTTACCCAGACCGTCCGTTCCCCTGGGCGTACAGGTGCTTTGCCTCAGGGGCCACTCACCGTTCATATTCTTAAAGATGTTCAGGATGGGGAGGATTTGACGGTAATAGGGCACCAAGGCTTCACCCACCATCTCCGCGGACACCACCAGATGCTGGAGGACCTTGAGGGTGACGCAGATCACCTGCCGGTTCCGGAGGTTCAGCGCATCTAGACAGCAGAGGGGAGATGCGTGAGTGACGGCTGCATCCCGCCCGGCAAGTGCGTCCTGGGCTGGCGGCACTCATGGTGCCACGTGGGGTGGGCAGGGCGACCCCGCCTGCGGGGTCTGTCCTCCCAGCTCAATGCTCCGCTCAACGTGTCTGTGTTTGCTCAGTTTTCCCAGTGTGCTCAGGCTCCTCCCCAGGGGGCTGGGGGGTGGTGGACAGAAGAGGAAAGCCAAGCTCGGGTCCAGAGTGGAGGGTGGACGGGCCAGGAAAGCCGATGGCTGGTGGGCTCCTTGGCCATGGCCCCGCCCAGTGAACCCACCTGCTAGTCCTCCAGTCATGCCCACTTCCAGGTACTGGGGAGGGGGTCCTGGGAGTGTGTGTGTGTGTGTGTGTGTGTGTGTGTGTGTGTGCGTGTGTGGGTGGGTGGGTGTGTCTGTGTCTGCCTGTGTGTCTCTGTATGTGTGCCTGTGTGTGAGTCTCTCTGTGTCTGTCAGTCTGTATGTGAATGTGTCTCTGCATGTGTCTGAGTGTATGTCTCCGTGTGTATGTGTCTGTGTCTCTGTGTGTCTGTGACAGTGTCTGTCTCTGTGTGAGTGTGTGTCTGTGTGTGTGTGCAAATGTGTGTGTCTCTGTGTGTGTATGAGTGTGTGTGTGTGTGTGTGTGTGTGTGTGTGAGAAAGAGGCTAGTGATGCACTTTGGGGGAAGTGCCACAAAAGTTATGTAAAGTTTTCTTAAAGGGAAGAAAAGCCGAGTTTCTGAAGTTCTCAAGGAACCACAGCAGATGACTCAGAGACCCAAGAACGCCATTAACAAACACTTATCTGGGGCCAGCGGCCCTTCTGCAGGACTCAGTGACCAGGGGCCCTGCTTCAGCAGGTAGGGCAGGGCAGGTGCCATGGGCGAGGGCGAGGCCAGAGACTTGTTGGCCTGGCCCTGCCCGCGCTCTGGGTGCACTCGGCCGCTACGGGGCCTGTTCGCACCTTCACCTGAGGAAAGGCTCCATCCTCAAGGAGAAGAGCCCAAGATTGCAGGAGGAGGAGGAGGAGGAAGAGGAGGAAGAGAAGGGCAGACTCCAGTGGGCTGACTCCAGTGACCTCCCCACAAGGCCTGTCCAGGCTCTCGCTGACCTGCTCCCCCCAGGAGAGGGGCTGGGTCCCACCTGTGGTAACCTCAGGGGTGCGGAGGGGCAAGTCCCCAGAGGGGCAGTGCTCTCGGCCTCCAGCTCCTGTAAGAGCCTGGAGGGCAGCACCTCGCACCCAGGACGTGCCCCACCCGAGTTCCCCCATGCTCTCTTTCTCTCCGCTCCGTTATTTCACAGCACCACCACCTGCCCCCAGCCTCAGGGTATGATCCTGCATCTGCTTCCTCACCCTCACCGAGTTTCCAGCCAGCTGTTCTGTCTGTCCCGGCTTGTGTCTTCCCCATTCCCGCCCATCTGCCCACCTTCTCCTGGGCCTCCATCCCCACCCTGCAGCCCCCGAGGCACCGGGCCCCGCTCTCTGCCCTCCTGTGTGCCCACAGCAAAGCTGCAGGTCTACCTACCCGATCACACGGTCTGTGTCTCCCTCTCGCCCCTCCCAGAATCAGCCACAAATGCCCCAGGTGCCCACTGGAACCAAATAATTTCCCGTTAAAAATCCGGGAAAACAAGACATCCCAGACATTTCCTCCGGAATCAGGAGGACGTTTTTATTTCTAAGTGAAATGTGTTCAGCTGCCTTCCCTCTAGCAACGAAAGGCGCGTAGGGTCTGACAGCTCCTTTGGGTCCCCTCCTGCTAACTACAGGTACACCCCATCTTCCTGGCTTCTTTGAAAGTAAACACAAAGAGACAAACAGAGAACCAGCCTAAATATATCCATAGAGTTCGACTGCAAGACGGCTCATTATTACGGCATTTCGACACGTTGTGGGCTTTGCCATATATTTGAAAAACAACTAAAAATAGAATACTAGAATTTCGTCTGTAAGCTCAAGTAATGAGGTGTCCTGGAACAGAACTTTGGGGAGGGGAGAAAGGGTAGGAGAGAGAGAGGGGAGAGATTGGCGTGGGGGCGTTGTGTGTCTCACAGACCGCCATGGGTTCTCCGGTGTTATCCAAAGTAAAAGACGATTGCAGAAAGCGTGGGGTAACAGCACCCCACCCACTGACCCAGCTCAGTCTGATATAAAAGAAGTGGGCTCTCACTCGCATTGCTCAGAGAATCATGGGCAGGGGACACTCTTTTGCCAGGTCTACTGGGGAAGCTCAGCGTGGCTAGGTTTGGGGAGTGACCAGACATCTTCCTACTCTAGCAGTCAACTGAGCTACGTTCACCTCAGCAGACCAGGAGCTAAACTGAACACTTGCCCCTAGTAGCTGACGGGCTTAGTCCTCAGCTATCAAATGTTTATTGAGAATGTAGCATGTGCCAGTCCATTTTTTTCAAAATTGGAGTTAACGTGCACAAGACATATATGTGATATGTATACAGAAGAAGGTTTGAGTTTGTTTTTTTTTTATTGAATCACCGTGAGATAGTTACAAGCTTTCATGTTTGAGTTTCAGTCGTACAATGACAAACACCCATCCCTCTACCAGCGAATATTTTCTACCACCAATGTTCCCAGTATACACTCCCCCCTTTCCAACCCTCCCCCTGCCTCCATGGCAGACAGTATCCCCCATACTCTCTCTCTACTTTTGGACATTATGGTTTGCTGTATAGATACTGAGAGGTCATCATGTTTTGTCCTTTATCTACTTTCAGCACACTTCTTCCATCCCAAACGAACCCTCCAACCATCATTGTCTTAGTGATCTCTTCTCTATTCCAGCTGCTTTCTCCCCCAGCTCATGAGACAGGCTTCCAACTATTGGGCAATATTCCTGGTTACAGCATTTATACTGCCGTCAGAGGAGGTATTTGGCCAAGGGAAGGATTAAAGTTCCTTAGATAGAAAGTATTCCAGGAGAGTAAATGTTCTGTAAGACACTCTTCTTCATGGACTAAAAAATTCTCCTTTCTTACCAGGCCTTCCCCAGTTCATAAGGATAAAGTTCATAGCGACATGGAACCCAGGCTCCAGAGAGCAAAGAATGAGTCTTGACTCTGAAATGTCTGGGATGGCTTGTTTTCTGGTTTTTTTTTTTGCTATTTTTGGGTGACACCCAGAGATGCTCAGGGGTTATTCCTGGCTCTGCACTCAGGAGTTACTCCTGGCAGTGCTGGGGAGACCATATGGGATGCCAGGGATCAAATCCGGGTCGGACGCGTGCAAGGCAAATGCCCTACCCACTGTACTATCGCTTCCAGCCCATTTATTTTTTAAATGGGAAATGTTTTTATCATTGTGTATGTTTTTCTTGGAATCATTTAGAGTGATGGGAAGAAAAAATATGGATGTGCAGGTATTTTATATGCTGTGTAGCACTGTCCCCCTGTTGTTCATCAATTTGTTCGAGCGGGCCCAGTAACGTCTTCATTGTGAGACTTGTTATTACTGTGTTTGGCATATCAAATACATCACGGGAAGCTTGCCAGGCTTTGCCATGCGGGTGAGATACTCTCAGTAGCTGGCCGGGCTCTCTGAGAGGGGCGGAGGAATCGAACCCGGCTCGGCTGAGCTGGCTGCATGCAAGGCAAAGGCCCCACTGCTGTGCTATCGGTGCAGCCCTACTAGTTGGAAATGATTACTCTGGACAAGAGCTGAGTGTTGAGAGCAGGTAAAGGGATAGATATTACAACCTTTCAGCAACTGTTTTGCAAACATAATGCCTAAAATGAGAGAGAGAGAGAGAAAGAGAGAGAGAGAGAGAGAGAGAGAGAGAGAGAGAGAAGAGGTCCTGCCATAGAGGCAGGCTGGGGTGGAGGGTGGTTCGAATGGGATGGGAGGGAAACTGGGGACCCTGGTGCTGGGAAATTACAGTGGTGGTGGGATTGTTGGAATACTGTATGACTGCAGTTACAAATCATTTGTGATGCTCTTATCTCATGGTGACTCAATAAACAAAAAGAAATTTTTTAAAAATAAAATAAAAGCCAAGTTTTATAATCTGGAAAATGGGATGATAAAAGGAATTCACTCCTAAGACAACTGTATGCATTATTCAGAGAGATAGTTTCTATAAAACGCTAAGAACAGGAAGATGGTAAGGAACAATAAAATCATGAATTCACTGAAACCTGGTTGGAACGGGAAGATATCATGTTAAATGAAATAAGCCAGAAAAAGGAAGAGCTCACTTATCTGTGGAATATGGAAGGAGGGAATGCGATGTGTTTTTGTTTTCTTTAGTTTTATTCTGGGGGTTGGAGTGGTGCTCAGGATTTACTCCTGGCTCTAAGCTCGGGGGTCATTCCTGGTGGGCTCAGGGAACTGTACATCGGGGATGCCAAGGGTCAAACCTGGGTTGGAGTGCAATGAGAGCACCTGACCTGCAGGACTCTAGCACCAGACCCACTAGACATTTCTTGAAAGGAGCATACAAGAAGCAAAGGTGTTGGCAGGAAAAGGTACGCAGAGTTTAGAAGAGAATCCACACCTCGGGATGGCTATCCTATCCAGAGGAACTGGTGGCAAAGGTCTGGCCAGTGCTGTGCGACCACTACCAAGCTCAGGAGCACAGCCACATGATCCTAACTACTCCAGATTCTGGAAAAACACAGCCAGACCCCAACATTCTTCAGCTGAGTTGAGTCCCTCACATACCTTGTCCAGGGTAACCATCACACAGCAACTGGCATCACGCAATGGGCATGCGGAAACACACACTGTTTGTGGCTGGTCCTGTGTTCTGTGCTGCTGAGCGGTATCCCCCAAGCTTTACATTTGCATTTATGTATTTATTTTGCAGTTCCCGGACTAGATCCTGGGGCCTCACACAACCAAGAGAAGGGTTTCACCATTGCGCGACATTCCCAGCCCACGGAACACGTACTAGTGTTTCATATGAATGAATGTACATAAAAGGAAAGTGAGCGGGTGGTAGGCAGGAGTGATGGGTAGGGAACAGCGGGT